ACAGAAAGCATCAACTCCAGACCTAGCCACCTTCTGCAGTATCATTGTTGGTGAACTTTAGTGGACGCTGAGACTGGCGTATTTGTTCATATCTAGGAACACGATGAGCAATGCTTGTTTAGCATGTTTCCTTCAAAAGCCCAGTGTTTTTCAAAATCACATTAAACATATTCTTCCCATTTCCTGAAGCATAAAAGTAGAAAAATGAAGTTAATTTCATTACAGGTATATCTCAGAGATTGTCTGTTTGGTTCCATACCACTGCAATCAACTAGAATCCCGATAAAGCAAGACACACGAATTTTTTGGTTTCCCAGTGCATATAAAATTAGGTTTACTGTCATCCATTAAGTATGAGGTCTAAAAAACAATATACATAACTTGATAACCTTATTTAAAAAAAAATGCTAACCATCATCTGAACCTTCAGGGAGTTATAAAATTTTTGCAATAGTAACATCAAAGATCACTGACCATCCTAACAAATACAATAATGACAAAGTTTGAACTGTTGAATTACCAAAATGTGGCACAGAGACATGAAGCTAGCAAATGCTGTTAGAAAAATGGTGCTGACAGGCTTGCTTGAAGGGTTGCCACGACCTTCAATTTGTAAAAAAAAAAAAGCAATATCTGTAAATCACAATAACATGAATTGCAATAAAAAGTATGCTTGTATGCTGTTGTTTAGTTGCTAAATCGTGACCTTTTGCAACCCCAAGGACTGTAGCCCTCCAGGTTCCTCTGTCCCTGGGATTTCCCAGGTAACAATACTGGAGTGGGTTGCCTTCTCCAAGGGATCTTCCCAACCAAGGGATCGAACCCACATCTCCTGCATTGGCAGGCCGGTTCGTTACCACTGAGCCACCAGGGAGGCCCATATCTTAAGATACGTAAGCAAATTAGGCCAAAACCGTAGAAAATTGGATAGCTAAAGTAGACAGTAATACCTACTTCAATATTTAAAACAGTTTTTGCATTTTTGCTCTCAGGAACTTTGTAATTTTCATAACTGTTCAATAAAAGCTTTTTTTTTGTCACAACATATACCTTGTGGGACCTTAGTTTCCTGACCAGGAAGCAAACCCCAGCCCTTGTCAATGACAGCACTAAGTCCTAACCACTGGATGACCAGAGAATTCCCAACAACTCTTTAAATTAATGAAGCATAAAGTAATGAAGTTAAGAGAAGAAAGCACTGTTTTCAATAACCAAAAGTTCAAATCAGATTTTAGAATGGGTGTTTGTCTACCTGCTTTAAGATGGGTCGACATCTTAGGTCAGGACCAAGTGCCTGCACAGAGTGGATGCTTTGGGTCAGCATCCAGCTGGCTAAAGAAGACATTCCCTTTCTATACGGTAGAAATGAAAAGATGAAACACTAAACACTAACCATATGCCTGCCTAGAATGGTTCCCCAACAGTGGCTACAAAGTTCCAGAAACTGAGGGTTGAAAGGGATCCAGGCTGAGGGCTGTCTCTTAGCCGGAGACTAGTTTAGGCAGAAAATCTCTTTTGCTTCAGTTCTCTTCGTTAATGATTCTCCTGTCCTTTGCACGTCCATCCATCTACTTGCAAACAAAACACGGGGAGGGACCCCCCAGGCTGCTGGTTCAGGAAGCAGGGGCCCCCGCGAGTCAGCGGAGGTTGCAGAATATCTGCCTGGGACCCTGGGTCTATAATCCCCCAGGTTCCACCCACGGACCCATTTTCTGGGAAGAGTAAGAGCAAAATCAAACAAAAGAGCACTATTCTTCGATCCTTTCTTTTATATTCAACTGCTGGGCTAATGCAGTTTTAGAGTCTAGTGCTGAATGAGGATGACTTCAGCCAAATCCAGGCTGTTTTAGAATAAATGTAAAATAAATTCAACAGGCCCTGACTCATAAGAATGGAAAATCTAACTGCTCCAGGGAAATGTAAAAGAACCAAGATGGGGTTTATTCAGTGCTGAGTTTTGAGCCTCAAAGATGGCCTTCAAAGCTTGGCTCCATCAGGCTTAAGACAGTGAGTTACACAGGGAATCTGAACGTTCAAGGCCAACTTTGGAGTTTTTGCCAAAGTTGTCTTCCAGGATTCTAAGTCTGCACCCTCTCTGGGCAATCCCTGGGAAACTTCACTGTGTTAATACATGAGAGTCAATCCTAAAGGAAATCAACCCTGAACACTCACTGGAAGGACTGATGCTGAAGCTGAAGCTCCAATACTTTGCCCACCTGATCCAAAGAGTTGACTCATTGGAAAAGACCCTGATATTGTGAAATATTAAAGGCAGAAGGAGAAGAGGGCCACAGAGGATGAGATGGTTGGATGGCATCACCGACTCAATGGAAATGAACTTGGGCAAACCCGGGAAGATGGTGAGGGACAGGGAGCCCTGGCATGCTTCAGTCCGTGGGGTCGCAGAGTCCAACATGACTTGGTGACTGAACAACATACATATAAGGGGGGACACATGTGGTGGCTTTGAAACCTGTTCTTTATGTCACACCTGGACTTTCTTCTACTTCCAAAGTGTTTCTGTCCTTGGCTGTGAGCTCGCACATCAAACAGGGTGCTAAGTGGTCAACTCCTCAAGGATCCCACCCTACCCTGCAAGGGGTAACTCCTGCCACCTTAGAAGCTTCTCTGGCTCTGTGAAGTGGGATTCCCTGTGAAGTGGGGCTCCACCGAACCATATGGAGCCCCAAGAGACTAACAGGATATGTATATCTGAGCCTCACAGTAAAGCAAAAGCTAAACCATCACTTTTCTCAAAAGTCTGAGACTTCCCTGGTGGTCCAGCGGTCTGCACTCACAATGTAATTGGCTTGGGGGTTCCATCCTTCCTTGGGGAACTAGAGCCCACATGCCACAACTAAGAGTCCACATGCTGCGACTTCCCAACTAAGACCCAGCAGCTGAATAAATGAAAATAAAAAAATATTTTTTAAAAGGTCTGATGTCACTGATAAGCTCTCAGCAGGTGGCAACCAGTCAGGGAGGATGAAGATGGTCTGATTTTACACCTGGAGTGGGGGGCTGAAATAAAAGCGCACCCAGGAAGGGCTGGGTGGCCAAGGTCACTTTCTGCCCGCACGGGGCGGGCGCGGGGAGTGTCTCCAACAGCACCCTGCACTGCAGCACTGAACTTGGTTGGGTCTGTCCCTCCTCTCGCCCCGCAGGGGCTCCCCCAGGTCACAGGCCAATCCCTGTTATTGGATCCGTGATCAGAAAGCCGGGACTACCTACAGACCTGCGGGCCACTCAGACCAGCACTTCTTAGAGGCTCAAGTTTGGGACCCGAGTAAAAATACACAGAGCCTATAAATAAGCCGGGGGAATTTCTTCAAGTCCCCAGTGCCACAAGGGGAAGGTGGCACCGCACAAGTGCTCACTCGAACATTTCTCAACGTGTAAAAATAACTTTGATAAAGGCGCGAAGACGCCTGGCTCAGAAGAAAGGAATGGAGCGGCGCCGAGAGCCCACTTCCTGCGCCGCGGCCGCTGGGCCCCTCGGCGCGGGGGCGGGGCGCGCTGACGGCGCGGGGACGAGGGGGGCGGGCGGGGCACCCCCACCGGGCGGGCCGCGTGACTCACCGCGGCGGCCCGCGCCTTAAAAGGGCAATCGCTTCCGGTGGCCGACTGGAGGAGGGCCCACCTAACTCCCACGGGGGTAAATGGCCCCAGTTTGCAAAGGGCCCCACGTGCCACTCCAAGAATGAGCCACCACGGAAGCTCCACTGCAGGGGGCGCCGATTCCGTCCCTGGTGGGGGAACTAAGATCCCAGATACCTTTCAGTGAACGTACCCGCCCCCCCCCCCAAAAAAAAATCCCACCCTCCTTTTCCTTTCTTTCAGCCTCAATTGTGGGCTTCCTTGGTAGTTCAGACCATAAAGAATCTGCCTGCAATACAGGAGACTTGGATTTGATCCCTGGGTAAGGTAAGATCCACTGGAGAAGGGAATGACTACCCACTCCAGTACTCTTGCTTGGAGAATTCCATGGACAGAGGAACCTGGTGGGGTACAGTTCATGCGGTGGCAGAGTCTGACATGACTGAGCGAATAACACACGCAACCTCAGATTTCTCCAAAGCTTAATCTTCAGGCTAACCCACACTGCCTGACTCTTGGTAAACTATTCTTTTTAAAACAAGAGAGTTTTTATGTTTCTATCATTTCAAACTTAGACATTGCAAGAATACTACAAAAACTTTCCCCAAACTCTTTGCCCAGCTTTTCCCCTTGGGAACATTTTATCACCTTTGCTTGATCATTCTCTCTCTATGTATCTGTATTTTTTTCTAAATCATTTGCAGGTAAATTGCAGACTGCCTGTCTCCTTATCACTAAGGACAAGGGTCAGCTAAAGAAAAAGACTGTCTTGGGGATGCCCAGTGACCTCTGAGCTGCCCAGTCCAATGGCCTGGCAGAGTTCATTTGCTTGACCCTTCTGTTCCTTGCTCTCTCTGTCTGTCTCTCTCTTCCTACTCTGATTCTCCCCTTTCCTTGGCTCCTCTCTTCCCTCCCTTCACAGGTGATCTCTCCAGGGTCTTGCCTCTTATCTCACTTTACCACTTCTTCCCGGAGGAGGCCAAGGGCTCTCACAGCATTAGCTGTCACCCGTCCTCTTCCAGCACTGAATCTTACCTGTCATTCCTTGTTCAGTCCCTAAGTCTGGTCTGACTGTTTGGGACCCCATGGATGGCAGCACACCAGGCTTCCCTGTCCTTCACTATCTCCTGGTGTTTGCTTAAACTCAAGTTCATTGAGTAGGTAACACCATCGTCCTCAATCTTTCCCAGCACCAGGGTCTTTTCCAGTGAGTTGGCCCTTCACATCAGATGGCCAAAGTATTGGAGCTTTAGCTTCAGCATCAGTCCTTTCAGTGAATATTCAGGATTGATTTCCTTTAGGATTGACTGGTTTGATTTCGTTGCTGTCCAAGGGACTCTCAAGAGTCTTCTCCAGCACCACAGTTCAAAAGCATCAATTCTTCAGCACTCAGCCTTCTTTATGATCCAACTCTCACATCCGTACGTGACTCCTGGAAAAACCACAGCTTTGGCTTTCTTAGCCTGGGCCCCCTTCTAAACTTCTACTTGAATGTCCACTGATTCCTTGAAATTCCTTGAAGCAGTGCCTGATTCCTTGAAATCCTTCCACTCCTTGTAAACTGGACACGACAAGGAACCTCCTCCCCCATGTCCCTCTTTGCAGGGCTCTCCAAGGTGAACCTCCCTCCCTTTGAATTCTGCCCCCTCCAGGCTCTTGCCTAGTTCTTGGTCACGTGCCCTGGAAACCTCATTCTGACTTTCATCTACACCCTTCGTTCTCCATCCTTATTTACCCACTGACTAGACTTCCTACCTGGAGCCCTTTGCCATCATCTCTGCACTGCTATGAGAACTGCCTTGGATGTTATCCAGGGTCTCTCTTGATTGCAATTACTGCCCTCAAGCTTCTCCCACTGGGTTCCAAAGAGCAGACTCCTGGGTTCCTGAAAATGTGTTCAAATGTTGTGTGTCAGGGAGAAGCATTTTCTCAGAAAAGGCTTGTTTCATCACGTTTTAAAAAGAATTTGTGGCCTCTCTTCTAAAAGAAAAAAACCGAAGGCTTTTGTGTTAAGATTCAAAGTCTTGATGAATTCAAAACCCCATCAGCCACTTACTGCAGCTCAGTCCAGCTTTCCCAAACTTGCTGGTCACAATAGTGCCCCGAGGCACCAGGTAAAAATCCAGGTTCATTGGCTCCTGCCCTGTGGATTCTGATTCAAAACGTATGAGTCGTGGAGTCAGGATGGGGGTGGAGGGAGCCCAGGAATCTGTATTTAACAAGCAGACAAGTCTAATAGGGAAACACTAGGCTAGAAGCAGCCAAGGGCTTTCTCACCTCCAGACTTCTGCTTCCAGTGTGGGTCCCTCTTTCTGAATCTGTGGAAATTTTATTGATAAATTTCATGTTAATCGTTCAATGTGCAGTTCAGCATTGGTGCCTCTGTTGAGGTCTTCCCCACCATTTTTTTTTTAAGGTATTTATTTATTTGGCTATTCCCGATCTTAGTTGCTGCATAATCTATAGTTGCAGCATGTGGGATCTAGTTACCTGACCAGGGATTGAACCTGCATTGGGAGCTCGGAGTCTTAGCCACTGAACTACCAGGGGAGTCCCTACCTACATTATCTTTTAATGTTCACAGTCCTTTACCCACACTGAGACAGCTGGGAAAGACCTCTTTAGACCTATTCTACTGAGTTGGCAAAGAATCTGCCTGCAATGTGGGAGAGCTGGGCTCAACCCTTGGGTTGGGAAGATCCCCTGGAGAAGAGAAAGGCTACCCACTCCAGTATCCTGGCCTGGAGAATTCAATGGATGGTATAGTCCATGGGGTGCAAAGAGTTAGATCCGACTGAGTAACTTTCACTTTGACTTTCTTCTAAGTTGGAGCACCGGCTTGGATTATTTTTTTTAATTAATTTTTTATTAATACTCCCTCACTTAGCATGTGCTTAATAAATGTTACACTAAGTGGTGATTCAGAGTGCGGTTATTAAATAGAAAGTGAAAGAAAGTGAAAGTCGCTCAGTCACGTCCGACTCTTTGGGACTCAATTCTCCAGGCCAGAATACTGGAGGGGGTAGCCTTTCCCTTCTCCAGGAAATCTTCCCAACCCAGGGATCGAGCCCCGGTCTCCCACATTGCAGGCAGATTCTTTACCAGCTGAGCCACAAGGGAAGCCCTGGTTATTAAATAAGCTCTTGAAAACTCTGTGCTAAGTTGCTTCAGTTGTGTCCGACTCTTTGCGACCCCATGGACTGTAGCCTGCCAGGCTACTCTGTCCATGGGATTTTCCAGGCAAGAATACTGGAGTGGGTTGCCATGCCCTTATCCAGAGGATCTTCCCAACCCGGGGATTGAATCTGTGTCTCTTACGTCTCCTGCATTGGCAAGAAGGTTCTTTATCACTAGTGCCACCTGGAAAATTATGTAATGTGCCATCTCATTGGCTATTCTTATCTGCCTTTGTGCCCTGAATGAGAATTAGCTCTCGGTCCGTGCAAGAGGTCCGGCAGAGTCTGGACGCCCACCTTAGGGATGCTGTCCAAGACCTTCCCAAGCCTAACATGCTGGATTTCTCCTCCTCTTCAACTGGGACGTTTTCATTGGTGATCATTCAGGGAGTTTTATTCTCCCACTCAGCAGGCCTGTGCGGAGTGCCTTCTGGTCCCAGGTCTTTTCTGGGTACTAAGGAGACTGGGAGGAAAACACAGTAAACACATCAATGAGAAAATAAACAGCACTAAGTCAGAGATAGGGCTTCCCTGGTGACTCGGTGGTAAAGAATCCACCTGGAATGCAGGAGATGTGGGTTTGATCCCTGGGTCAGGAAGATCCCCTGGAGGAGGAAATGGCTACCCACTCCAGTATTCTTGCCTAGAAAACCCCATGGACAGAGGAACCTAGTGGGCTACAGTCCATGGAGTCTCAAAGAGTCTGGCACAACAGAGTGACTAAACAACAACAAAGTCAGAAATAAGAGCTGGGGAGAAAATAAGACAAAATGAGAACTGTGTGCATGAGAGTGGGGAAGATCTCTCCAGGAAGAAGACAATTACATGGAGATCTGGAGACCCCGTTTTGATTCCTGGGTCGGGAAGATCTGCTGGAGAAGGGATAGGCTACCCACTCCAGTGTTCTTGGGCTTCCCCTGTGACTCAGCTGGTAAAGAATCTGCCTGCAATGAGGGAGACCTGAGTTTGATCCCTGGGTTGGGAAGATTCCCCTAGAAAAGGGAAAAGTTACCCATTTCAGTATTCTGGCCTAGAGTCACAACTTTCACTTTTCTTTCACTTGGATAAGAAAAGGGGTGGTCGTGTGAGGCTTTCCCAGCAGAGAGAACAACCTCCGGGTTCGAGTAGCTGAGGTCCCCCAAAGCAGCCAGAGTGGCCAGAGCAGAATGGATGAGGAGAGAGACAGGAGAACCAGGTCAGGACCAGGTGGCACAGGAAGGCACAGATGGGGAGGTTGGAACTGTACGCCATGCCCAGCTATGAACAGGCCTGTGATGTAATTCTATTTAGCTTATTAGACAATTATCCCCGCTGCTGTGTGGAACGTGAATTTTGTAGAGCTGGAGTGAAGGCAGGTCACACAGGGGGAAGGTGTTTGAGTGGTCCACCAAAGAGCTGGTCTACCTTTGGCCCTGGTAACAGCATTGGAGACAAGAAGTGACAGATCTGCTTTGTAAGCTAGCCCACGGGTGTGTGTGCTAAGTCGTTCAGTTGTGTCCAACTCTGTGAAAACCTATGGACTGTAGCCCATCAGGCTCCTCTGTCCATTGGATTCTCCAGGCAAGAATACTGGAGTGGGTTGTCATTTCCTCCTCCAGGGGATCTTCCAGACCCAAAGATCCAACTTGCATCTCTTAGTCTGCTACATTGGCAGGCAGATCCTTTGTCGCTAGTGTCACCTGAGAGCCTGTGGGCAGAGTCAGTAGCTGTGCAAAGGCCCTGGGGCAGGGACCTTCACTGAGCAAGAGAGCAAGGAAGGTAGGGAGGGCCAAGTGTAGGTGGGTTTCTTTGTCTCAGAAGAGAGAGGTGTTCTTTGCTGATGTTTGGGTCATCTGTGAGGATGATAAAGCAGGTCAGAGGCTTGCAGGTGTTTGATAAAGATATTTATAATTGAACTATATTTGGTTTACAACACTGTGTTAGTTTCAGATGTACAGCAAAATAATTTAGATCTGTCTATCTGTTGTTGTTCAGTTGATAAGTTGTGTCCAACTCTGTGACCCCATGAACTGCAGCACACCAGGCTCATCTGTCCTCCACTATCTCCCGGAGTTTGTTCAAATTCATGCCCATTGAGTCCATAATACTGTCTAACCATCTCATCCTCTGCTCCCCCTTCTCTTCCTGCCCTCACTCTTTCCCAGCATCAAGCCTTTTCCAATGAGTCGGTTCTTCACATCAGGTGACCAAAGTATTGGAGCTTCAGCTTTAGCATCAGACCTTCAAATGAAGAGCTATCTATCAATCTATCATACACTATCTATCTATATTCTTTTCCAGATTCTTTTCCATTACAGGTTATTTTAAGATACTGACTATAGTTCTCTGTGCTTTACAGCAGGCCTTGTTGTTTATCTATTTTATATATAATAGTGTGTATCTGTTAATCCTAGACTTCCAATTTGCCCCCGCTCCCTTTTCCCCTTAGGAACCATAATTTTGTTTTCGACCTCTGTGAGTCTGTTACTGTGAGAAGGGCATTTTAAAACACAATTTCACAGAGTATTCCTGATCTGAGGAAAAGTTATGTCACTGAAAATGTGTATCTGATCTAGAGATGGTAAGTTCTATTTGATGATTTATATGGATGAACCAGGTTCTGAAATCTCTCCACTACCCCCAAAACAATCATTTAAATCTGTCCAGTAGGTATAAGCACTCATGGTCTTGGCCTCCTTGCTCAGGATATTCCTGGATAATTCTATGGAGGGCGAGGAAGAATGGCTCAGTCATTCATTCAATTGTCATTTTATCCTGATGTCAATCCCAAGCAGTTTCTAGTTTGCCCAAAATGGCTACAGTCAATTCAGAAGAGATTTTTCATATCTCCCCATCTAGGGACCTCACCCATGACATTCTTCTTTTTCAAAAAGAGAAAATGACCCACTAGGCTAGTAAGAGTCAACTGTTCTCTGAATACAGATGACTCTCCCCATTTTTAAAAAGCTATTAACTTGGAGCACCTCGAAGAAAGTAAACCCAACCTCCTTTTCATCCCTGCCCCAATGTTTAAGAGTTCACTGGGGAGAAATCATCACATGGCAAAGCTTTCGAAATGACTGCCAATTAGAGACAAGATTCTGTGACCTCAGGGGCTTCCCTGATAGCTCAGTTGGTAAAGAATCTGCCTGCAATGTGGGAGACCTGAACAGCTACCCACTCCAGTATTCTGATCCAGAGAATTGCATGGATGGCATGGTCCATGGGGGTCGGACACAACTGAGCAACTTTCACTTTCTATAACCTGAAGCAGTATGAGTGTAAAAGCAAAATAAAAAACTAGATGGAGGAAGGTGTTTATATATACCATGCTTTAAAATGAAAATAATTTCTTTCTTGATAAAAAGGTAACTTGGACCTGACATAAACGGGAGAAAAAAATTCTGGCAGTCAGGGCACAGAAATTAAAATTTACTTTCCCTACAAACTAAAAACGTTTATATTGGAGAAGAATGCCAGTGGGGTGCATTAGTACTCAATATCAGAGGGGTGGATTTATCCCAAGGAAATAATTTGAATGAAAAAAACTGAATTGTTTGCACACAGATGCTTATTGCTTCATTATTTGCAATATTTTAAAGTTAGATTTATTCTTGACAGAATGGGAGTAGGGTGTCAGGTGTGAGTCAAATGGTCCAATGGCATTTAGAATTGATGAAGGTGTGGAGGATGGATTAAGGTGTAGGTGAATCAGTATACACAAGAGATGAGAAAGGTTTGACTAAGGCTGTCCCCTCAAGGTTAGAGAGGAGAGCTTAGTCAAAGAGATATTTAAGGATCATTTACATGTGTATAGTGAGAGGGGAGGGAGGAATCTAGGATGACGCTCTGTTTGGGTGGATGGTGGCGTAGCCTGAAAGATGGAGAGTGTAGGTGAATGAGCCTGGTTTCTGTCTTTCTGCCTGTCTGACTGTTTGGGGGCTGGAATGAAGGGGTGGAGGGTGTAGGCAGTTCTAATGCCAAATTTGAACCACCCACAGAATAGCCAGGTAATGCCATAGTGTTCAGTCACTCAGTTGTGTCCTACTCCTTGCGGTCTCATGGACTGTAGCACACCAGTCTCCTCTATCCGTGGAATTTTCTGGGCAAGAATACCCGCATGGGTTGCCATTTCCTACTTCAAGGGATCTTCCTGACTCGGGGATTAAACCTGCCTCTCTCGGGTCTCCTGCATTGGCAAGTGGGTTCTTTCTCACTAGTGCCACCTGGGAAGCTCTGTAACCAGGAAATGGAAGCTGAAAGGACTCAGTGGAGAATGGAGGTCTGAGCTGAGAGAGGAAAGTGGCGGGAGATAAGTAACAATAAATAAACATTTTCTGTAAGTTGGGTGAGGTCATGTGTGTCTCCCTTCTTACCTCATTTTTAAAAAACATTTTATTTGTATTGGGGTATAACCGATGAACAATATTATGGTAGTTTCAGGTGAACAATGGATGGACTCAGTCATACATGTACGTGTATCCATTCCCCCCGAAAACTCTCCTTTTATCTAGGCTGAGCAGAGTTCCCTGTGCTGTACAGTAGGTCCTTGTTGGTTGTCCATTTTAAATATAGCAGTGCATACGTGTCCATCCCAATCTCCCTAACTACCCTTCCCCCATCCTTCTCCCAGCATCCACAAAGCTGTTCTCTGAGTCTGTGAGTCTCTTTCTGTTTTGTAAGTTCAGTTGTATCATTTCTTTTTGGATTCTGTACATACCTCCTTCCTTCATCTTGGTCTTCATCCCCTTCAATCTTTCAGAGGCAGCTGATGCTATAAACTACCTTCTGGAAGGTCTCTCTTCCATCAGCCCTTGAACTCACATACCCTTCGTCTTTTCTTTCTACCTCAGTTTTTTTCCTTTCTGTTTTAAATTTTATTTAAAATTAAATATTTCTCCCCAAGTAATCCATTTTTGCTGTTGGGAAAAAAAGCTAGAAAATACAGATGGTGGCTCAGTCGGTAAAGATTGCCTGCAATGCAGGAGACCGCCTGGAAGGAAGGGGATGACAGTCCCTGGGTTGAGAAGATCCCCTGGAGAAGGAAATGGCAACCCACTTCAGTATTCTTGCCTGGAGAATCCCATGGACAAAGGAGGCTACAGTAGGCTACAGTAGGGAGGCTACTGGTAGGCTACAGTCCATGGGGTCACAAGTGTCGGACATGACCTAGTGACTACACCACCACCCACCATGGAAAGAAAAATTAACTCAATATTCTGTAATAACATATGGGAAAAGAATCTGAAAAAGAATAGATATGTGTATTTGTATAACTGAATCACTTTGGTGTACACCTGAAACACACAAACTTGTAGATCAATTATGCTCCAATATAAGAGAAAAAAATGTTTTAAAAAGAATAATTAAAGCCACAAAGCATTTTGACATACACCCTTACAACTCTTACTGAATTTCCTCCCCATCACATACATTCAGTGCAGCCTCTTCTGATGAACATTTATCACAATTAGAACTAAATATTTGCATGCTATTTTTCTAAAAAGCTGAATTGTTTAATGAATATATTCATATGAATGAATTCTTTAAACAAAAGTAAGACCAACTGGTAGATAGTGTTTTCTAGTGTATTTTCCTCATATGTTAATATATCATATAAATTTTTTTTGGCCATACTACATGGCATGCAGGATCTTAGTTTGCCAACCAGGGATCGAACCTGTGCCCCAAACAGTGAAAGTGCAGGGTCCTAACCAATGGACCCCCAGGGAGGTGCCGTCATTGTGAATAATCCTTAAACACCCATTTCAATCGATGTAATCATTTTTAATGCTACCTGGTGTTGAATTCAACTGTATGACTGAGCCAAAATTTATCTCAACCTTTTATTACTAGACATTGATGGTATTTTCAAGTTGCCTCTAATCTGCTGCGTTGTACATACGTCTCTAGGTAGATGCTCTGCGGGTCTCCTTTTGATTTTTTTCTAAAAATAGAACTGTTGTGTCAAAGAATAAGCCAAGTTTTCAGTTTTGATGGAGGTTGGAAAATTGTCTTCCAAAAAGTCTATCCAACTGCACACCCACCATTTTGCTTTTATAAAACTCCTTTTGTCTCTGTTATAAAAATAGTGCTTATGAACTATAGACAGGAGGCAGATAAGCAGCTAGAGGAGTTGTGGGTAGCCTGCCACTCCGGTGCTGCCTGATAACCCCTGTTGGGTAACTTTGTCCCACAATTGTCTATGTGAATGCCCTCGGGAGTCAGACTGTGGCTCAAGTGCCAGGTTTACCGTTACTGACAGTATGGCTTCAGGTGATGACTTACTGTCATCAAGCTTCTGTTTTCTCACCTGTAACTCAAGATGGCAATAGCAGGAGGGCTGGTTGTCAGAATGCACAGCAGGTGCTTGTGGCTTAGTGGTAAAGCATCTATCTGCCAGTGCAGGAGACAAGGGTTTGCCCTGGGTCAGGAAGATCCCCTGGAGAAGGAAATGGCAACTCATTCCAGTACTCTTACCTGGAGAATTTCATGGACAGAAGAGCTTGGCGGGCTACCGTCCACGGGGTTGCAAAGAGTTGGATGCAAATGAGCGACTAAACAGTAACAGTAGCAACAAATGGCAGGAAGGAGCTCAGCCCCTGGCTGAAGCCGTGCTCCTCCATTTCTGCTTGCACGTTGCTTTCCTGCCCTTGAGATAAAAACAATCTCCCCTTGTATCAAGTGGACAATTCTGGTCTCACCTTTTACATGTGCCCCAGGCCTCTAGGTCTGATCCCAGACTGTGAATACCACCCATGGTATTTTGCTGGTGTTTTCTTTTGGTCCCAATCAGATTAGTTATGAGTTCCTCCTCTTTGTCATGCCTGCCCCCATCTTACCCACCGTCATCTTTCCTCAGAGGCGCCCAGGCAGAAACCACCAGAACACCTCCCCACCCCTCCCACAACTGGGTGCCAAACAGTTCTGTTATTCCATGATACGGGGTGGGGTTGGAGTCAGACTGACCTCGATTGAAATGCTGGCCTTGCTGCTGACACATGATGTGTCGGGAAGCAGTTCCCTCCCTTTTCTGAGTGTCAATTTCTTCATCTGTAAGACGGGCTGATAGAACTGTCACTTAGGACCGAGATTCTGATGGTGAAAGGAGACAAGAAGTGCTTAGTATCTCTAAGGGATGAGCTCCGATGCGCTCTGTCACCATGATTACTGTTTCTCACCTTCTCTGGCCTTTGCTATCGCTCGAGTGCAGTCCCAGCCCACCTGTGGCACAGACATGGCCTCCCACCTTCAGCCTTTCCCAGGCCAAATTTCTGGAGCTTTTCATCTACTTGAGACTCTCAATGGCTTGTGACCATCTACAAACTAAAACCTGAATTGTCCCTGCATGGATCCCTGGCCTGTGCCTATTTCCAGCTTGGTCACTCTGTCACCTGCGCTTACCCACCTTGGCTGCCACCTCCCCATCTCTGTGTCCACTTCCTGTCCATCTCTCCTGCACAGTTCCCACCTTCTCTGTGGTGGTCCCATCACCCAAATGGACACTAGTACCCCATCTCAGCATCTCCCAGCCCGGTTCAAACATCCTTCCTGCAGCTGGTCCTCCCAGCCCTCCCCCAGGACATTCAGTGCCCCCTCCCCTGAGCCCCACCCTTGCCCTCCCCCGACCCCACTGCCCTCGATTGCATGCCAAAGAAGGTCCATTCCCCACCATGACTCTGCCCTCGTGGGAACAGATTCACTTTCTGTCACCTCTGTATCCACCACCCCCGCCCCATCTCCCGTCCACAAACCCCCAGTGTTTGCCTGTTAACCACACTGTTAATAAATAACATTCTCCCAGGATTTCAGTGTTCAAAAGTTTACCCACAGGCCAAAGTTTCGCAGAGATCATTTACCTTTCCAAGACTTACTCTGAGATGACAAGTGCGTAGAATTTTTTTAAAACTGAGATACCCCCACCTGAACTGATACGGGTGAACTAGGCACCATGTACTTGTGTGTCGCGACACACAGGTGCCTTGACTGTCGCATCCCTGTTTTCATGATGGTGAGGTGAGCGCAGAACGTATGTCACGTATGTCTTTCATGACACTTGCCCTCTTCCTCTAGGGCAGGATAACCGGGCTGTGCTATAAAGAGAGGGTGGGGCTTGGACGTGGACTCAGGTCCTTCTTTCCTAAAGGCATGTAAGTTTCAAGTAAATCTGTCCGGTCCTGTTGGGAAAGATGATGCAACGTGACGAGAAAGGAAGTGGGGAGTTGCCTTCCTACTACGAGCTAAGGAATGTCACGTCGCTGAGTACTCTCACATTCCCAGAAACATGTCGTGGTTGAGAAGGAGGCGGATGACTCACAGTTCCCTGGGCTGCTGAGCCTGAGCAGGGCTAACGAGGACAGGGTGGCGGAGAGCGCTTGTTGCCAAGTCGGCGGGTCCCCCAAGTCTGGGGGCTGCCCTGGCACTGGGTGTGCAGAGACCAACCACATAAACACAATCTTGTTTTCTCAAAGCTGGAGTGAGAGGTCTACGAGGCGCTTGTATCTATGATCAGATGTGCCAGCCTGAACTCTGTGAATTCAGCTGTGGTTCTGATTATTCCTTTTGCGGAAACAGGGGTGAGGGAAGGTGGGGGCTCTGTCCTTAGAACAGGCTCCCGTGACAAAGTTCTTCTCTGATTTTCAGAGACCCTGGGGCTTTATGCTAACTTGGCTCTTCCTTCCTGGACTTCATTCTTCCTCCCTCATTCTCCAAATTAAGCCTTTTTCTAATCGAAAGACCTGAAACATTATTCCAAGGGCAAGAATTTGGCAACTCTCCCTGAACGCACAGCACATGCTTTGCAGGGTTTTTTTTTTTTCTAATGTTCCACAGTAGAGCCACCTGTTCACTCCACCCACCTCTGGGCGCCTGGCCACAGGGCTCATGAGCAGCGAGACGGGACCCATCACCAGCCTGCCTCGCTGGGCAGAGGTTGTCAGTGGCTTTCTCTAGCCCCCAGCACCCCCCCCCTCCACCCTTAGGCAGGGTCCCCTTTGCAGCCTGTAGGTAGTCACTGTTTCAAGGCCAATAGCCCAAAGCAGTGTTGAGCAGTGGACACCCCTCAGGAGTTATTTACAAACTCATAGTAACTCATCTGGAAGAAAGAAAACTCAGATTCCCCAAGGTTGCCAGTAGGACCCTCACACCCAACAGATGCAGGTGGGGTGGGTGCAACACAGGCTCTGAAGGGTCCCTGAGATGCTCACCAAGCAAACATCCGTTTGTCATGAGAAGCTGAGAAGGGAACAGGTGGGCACTGTAGTTCTCCACCTCCTGCTGGTGGCCGGCCTATTGCAGCACCTCCTAAACTTATCATCTTTGAAACTGGCTCTGCTTGTGCCACCAAGGCCTTGTGCCCATGTGGCAACTAAGCTGATAAAGAGATAGCCCTGCCTGCATTACCCATCTTCACAGTGGGGGCCTAGAGCCCCCAGCGTGAATACGGAGCAGTGGAGTGGAGCCAGAGGCTAAGGGTCTGGAGCTGACCAGGACTGGCTCCTGGCTCCCCATTTTCTTTATTTCTTTCTTCTTTTCTAATTGGAATATAACTGCTTTAAGATGTGATAGTTTTAGCTGTAGAGCAAAGTGAATCAACCACATGTATACAATGTATCCCCTCTTCCTTGGATTTCCTTCCCTTTAGGTCACCACAGAGCATTGAATAAAGTTCCCCATACTATACAGTATGTTCTCAGTTGCTGTTATTTAGTTGCTAAGTTATGTCTGACTCTTTTGTGATCCCTTGGACTATAGCTTGCCAGGCCTCTCTGTCCATGGAGTTTTGCAGGCAAGGATACTGGAGTGGGTTGCCATTCTCTTCTCCAGGGGATCTTCCTGACCCAGGGATCAAACCCAAGTCTCCTGCTTGTAGTTATCTATTTTTTACCTAGTAGTGTATATATTGTTGTTCAGTCACTCAGTTGTGTCTTTGTGACCCCATGGACTGTAGCCCACCAGGTTCCTCTGTTCATGGGATTTTCCAGGCAAGAATACTGGAGCAGGTTTCCATTTCCTCCTCCAGGGGATCTTCCTGACCCAGAGATAGAACTCTCATTGCTTGCATTGCAGGCAGATTCTTTACCCCTGAGCCTTCAGGGAAGCAGTGTATATATGCCAATCCCAATATCCCAACCAGCTCTCCATTCTCTGAGCTCACTTTTTAACCTCTCTGGGAATCACTGATCCTCTCTCTCTGAACCTGAAAACCAGGAATCATAGCAGGGTTGTGATCAAGGCAAACTATTTTTGTAAAGTACCTACGACAGTGCCTGGACTCCATGATGTTAAATGAACAAATAAACGCAAGATTCTTTCCCAGGGAACATTTTGTGGCAGGTGGGGACTTCAGGAGTGGAGTTCCCCATTCTAGGGTCTGAGTCTTTCTCAGTGGGGTCTTTCAGGGTTAAATCCCATGGCTCCATCAAATGAGTGTTAACACTGACTTAGCCCAGCAAAGAGCAGGGAGGTTAGGGTCCAGCAAGACTGAGGAGGGAAGGTCTGTGCTGTCAGAAGAGGCCATCTTAAATAGCAAAACTCGGGCTTCCCTGGGGGCTTATGGTAAAGAATCCACCTGCAATGTGGGAGATCCAGGTTTAACGCCTGGGTCAAATGGCAAAACCTGTGTTTGCCCAATGAAAGATTCAGATGAATGGGATGGGGCCCTTGGCAGCCCCATTTCTACACCTCTCAGAAGAGTGCTCCTTCGAAGGGTGGTATCAACTTTGATAAGCTGTATTATTCACCTGCTAACCTGAGAATTCTTTCAGCCACCACCTGAGACAGAAAAAGTTTGTTAGTTGCTAAGTCTTGTCCAACTCTGCGACGCTATGGACTGTAGTCCCCCAGGCTCCTCTGTCCATGGGATTCTCCAGGCAAAAATACTGAAGTGGGTAGCCACTCCCTTCTCCAGGGTATCTTCCTGACCCAGGGATGGAACCCAGGTCTCCCAAATTGCAGGCAGATTCTTTACCATCTGAGCCACTAGGGAAGCCGAGACAGAGTCCACCCCGAAATCTTCCATCACCAAGTCATGCTGGTCTGAGCTGGAGCCCTATCCCCTACCCTCCCAGGAAAGGTTGTAGATAAAGGCTGCAGATAAGAAAGACTCAAGCTTGCATCCCTGCAGGGCCTGGGCCTCTGTCAGCCCAGGGCCATGGCAGAGGTCCCAGCCTACTCACCTCTGGCCTGAATATGTGAGGATCAGACACACTGGCTCCGATGCTCAGAGGAGACCATGCGCGCAGGGTTTCATGCTCTGTGACTGTGGTCTTGAACTTACTAATTTTATCCTTGATCTTGTGGTTTGTGAATGAAGTTCAGTGGGATGATGAAGCGCGTGTCAGGGGCTTGGAGTCGCACACATGATCTTCTGGTCCACTTCCTGTGGGTCCTTGGCTGCCTACTGCCTGGTGTCCTGGTGCCCTGGGGGACCCAGATCCCCTTCTCTGCCCCTGTCCAAGGACAACTGATACCCTCTACCACCAGTGGGGCCTGGTCCCAGGTGGGAGGAGAGTCAGGGTTGGGGACACACACTCACGCCCCTCTCAAAGTCAAAGGGTTCCCAGGCCCCTAGTAGGGGATGGTCTGTACTCCCAGAGACATCTGTGCCACCCCTACCTCCCGTCTGAAGAAGTACCCTCATTAAACAGCAAATGGAAAATACCATGGAAGGTGGAGACAGACCATGGAAGAAAGGACAAAGTTTTCCTCCTGCCGTTTTTTTTTTTTTAATCTTTATTGGATTTGTTACAACATTGCTTCTGGTTTTAAGTTTTTTAGCCATGAGGCATGTGGGATTTTAGCTCTCCAATCAGGGTTTGAACCCGCATCCCCCGCATTGGAAGGCAAAGTCTTTACCTCTGGACTGCCAAGGAAATCCCTTTTCTGCTCTTTGAACAAGGAGTCCTGCATTGTTACTTTGCCCTGGGGCCTCATAAATCCCTAACTCCCTACAACCGGTGTCATTTCACCTTGGCTAAAGAGCCTGGCCTAGCCGATGCATTCAGGTTTGTGTACTTTAGAGTTGTCTGTGTTTTGTGTGCTCCTCCTCATCCAGTGCACGTGGGCTGCTGGAGTGAACTGGTCTACCACGCTCACTTGCCGGGGTCCTTGTAGTCCTGTGGGCTTGGCCGCCACAGCCAGAGGCCCAGGGTCACCTGATCCAAGCCTGACTTTCTCACCTGTGAAAGGAGATTAGGCAATGTGATCTTCAAGATCTTTTCTAGCTCTTAAAGCATCTTATGATTCTAAGCACATGACAAAGCCCATTTTATGATCTGAAAACCCAGAGTGGGAGATACAAGATATCATGGCTTCCTGGCAACAAACAGCTTTTATGATTATTGGCAATGGAAAACAGCAGAAAAGGATCTAGACTTACTGCATGAGAATGCACAGCATCTCAGATCCTGGGCTTGGTGTACAATAAAAGGAGAGGTTAGTGAACATCCCTTCTGCTGTTGGGCAGAGTTGAATGAGGACGGCCTTGTATAGAATGACCAAACCCTCTCTGTGACAATGTGCCGTGATTCTTCCTCTGTAAAACTTTTGTATTATTGACAGGAGGAGACCCACATACGTAGAAAACAAACTGACAGCTATTGAGGGAGGGGAGAAGGAGGGATAAATTGGGAGCTTGGGATTAGCAGGTACACACTACTATATATAAAATAGGTGCCCGATAAGGACCTACTATAGAGCACAGGGAATGGTACTCAATATCTTATAATAACCTATAAGGAAAAAGAATATATATAAGCTGCTGTGTGGCACAGGAGCCCAGTCTGGTACTCTGTGGTGACCTGGAGGGGTGGGATGAGGCGAGAGGTGTGTATAATTATCGCTGACTTGCATTCTTGTATAGCAGAAACCAACATAACATTATAAAAAATTTTTTTTAATTTAAATAATACATATAATGGAATCACTTTGCTGTGTACCTGAAACTAATACAACATTGTAAACCAACTATAGTTCAATAAAAAAAAATAAAGTTAAAAAAATTTTATTATTGGGAAATGGATTAAAAGCATGAGGCTTAATTTAGCATCATAGCATAAATTAGCATTACGTCCTAAATTAATCTAAATCATATCCTGGGATCATGTGGATCGCATGCGACTGATAGTGAGCCGTGTGTGTTCTGTGAGCTTGGGAGCCTTCCTGGTTGTCATTCTCCAAAAGATCACGGAATAAGCTTAGAAAAGATATAAGAAAGTTCCAGAGTGGTGACTGAAATCTCCCCTTCTAGACCATCACATAAATCCAAAGTAGCTGAGAAAATACCGACCCTACTCCATGTCCTTGACACTGTCAAATTTCCCAGGGAGGAGATCTTCAGGACACTGTAACCTTACTGATTTCAGACAGTGGATTTCCCGGGTGCCTTGGTCCATCCAAACCCATGCGGAGAACATGACCCACATCTAACAGCCAAGTCCTTTTTTTCCTATCCACATCTGTGACGGAGATTTTTCCTTCCATAAGAGACTCAAATGTGAAATTCCCTAAAATTATTTTTGCTTTTTCCCCCACTGGGGCACAGTTTCTAAGACAGAGTATTATCACCTCATTAAATGTGTCAGTAAGTTTTAAAACTTGGGAGAGAAAGTTAGCAAACACAGGGGACAGGCAGTGTTTGCCTGTGAGATTTCCCTATCTGGGCAAGTGCTTCCTACACTCAAGGCTGCATTGATTTGTATCGTTGGGAAAGGGTTTGGGGAAAATCCAGGTATCAATGTTCCTATCTTGTGTCCTTCCAACCTGACCAGTTGTCCTTTAGTTCTTTGCCCAGTTCACCGATGAATCCTAAAGCTCATCGTCTTTTGGGACAGAGAATGGTTGGGATTTCAGAAATCTTGTAATTTTGGATGGTCGGGCTGGCCCAGTAAAGGACCAGACACGTGGGAAAGAATGTACCGTGGTGATCGTAATCAGAAAAGTTAACAAAGGCTTTAAAGATTGTGTCATAACAACAGATGCTTCAAGTGGTTAAAAACACCCATATTGTTATTCTTTCTGGCCCAAACTATGTCCTGCGACAGTGAGTTTAGCAATGAAGGAAGCTACTCCTTTGCTGAGAATGAAAGTTTGGCTGCAGGGCTAAGAGGTCTTGAAATGCAGAGAGGAGACAGAGGTTTTATAATAACTTCACCCCTCAGAAAATCTTCTCCAAATATAGCAGGTGCAGCAATGTGGAGAAAATATTTGAGGGAAAGCAAGAAGAAACTCTCCTCTCTCCAAAGACATGATGGGTAAAGGTCCCACAGCTTGCTTAGCCAGCAAGGATCTAGCCAATTCCAAGACCCAAGGTTTCTCTCCCTAGACACATTCTGGAAAAATGACTAAACCTTCCTGTACCTCAGTTATCCCAAGTGCAAAATCAGAAAAATTATTTTAACCTATTTTATGATACTGCAGGGGAAACACAACCTTGGATAAAGCTTGAGAAGTATTCACTTGTTGTTAACTGTCTCATAAATGTTTAAGATTTCCAGGCCCCCGGGAAGCCTGCATGGTGTAAAGTTACAGCCAATTCACCTGATTGGAATCTGTTGTCAGGGACTTCAGAAATGTCCCTCGGGGGCCATAGTGCAATCTGAGCAGAAGGAAACCAGAAGGTGCCTTGTGCAGCAGCTTGAATTTTCAACAGTGTGGGGCTGAACTGGAAGGCGAATTACTTCTGTTCTCTTCTCTTGGCCCACTGCAGAAAGTATTTTTATTTTATCACATACACATTTTCCTCCTTCCCCTGATCATGAACCAGAACACTTTTATAGCTAGGAGGAGTTTTAGGGGTTTTCTAGTTATTTCTCGTTTTACAAACAGCGGGCCATGGAGCTAAGAGCTGAATTTTCTGATTCTGAGAATTGTTCAAAGGGACCACTTAGCTCCACCCAGCTATGGCCCACGCAGCAGTTGATTCCCTGCTCCCACTGTGGGGCAAACTCATACCCAAGAACCTTCTTCCTCAGACTTTGTGGATGTGAGTTCTTTTACAGAAGTCTCTTGAGAGACCCTTGGACAGCAAGGTGATCAAACCAGTCAATCCTAAAGGAAATCAACCCTGATATTCATTGGAAAGACTGATGCTGAAACTCCAGTACTTTGGCCACCTGACTCATTGGAAAAGACCCTGATGCTGGGAAAAATTGAGGGCACGAGGAAAAGTGGGTAACAGAGGATGAGATGGTTGGATGGCATCACCAATTCAATGGATGTGAGTTTGAGCTAACTCCGGGAGATGATGACGGACAGGGAAGCCTGGCGTGCTGCAGTCCGTGGGGTTGCAAAGAGTTGGACACAACTGAGAAACTGAACAACAACCCTAGGGGCTCAGTAAGCACTGAGCTCAGGATGAGACCCTCCGTCAATAGAGGGAGATGATGGAGGTTACCATCGTCCATAGAGGCTGCCAGGTGCTTGGCCACCTCCCATGTGATCACTTGGTAATCTTTACCGCAGTCTTATGAAACAGGCATCAGTTTCCTGCCTGAGGAATCAGATGTGTAAGCAACCTTCCCCTGGGGGTGGGAGAATCAGGCTTCACGCCCAGATTCCAGGGCTCGCCTGCCTGCCTCTCCAGACCCTGAGGCTTCCTCATAGAGACCACAACTTGGGCAGATGATAAAGGCAAGGACTCAGCCTTGGGGAAGGGGCAGTGGTAGTTTGGGATGGATTCCTGAAACCGGAGGATAAACTTGAAGGAACGAGGCAAGAAGCCAGTTTACAGACCTTGGGGTCAAGAAGGGCATTGCTAGCTGGACGGTTGGGCTGGGAGGTCTGGGCCCTGGAGTCCACCTGTCACTTAGACACAGTCCTGAGCAAACCCAGCCCCTGTTACCTGTGGGGTCTGGAATGTGGCAGTCCTCCGGCCTTCTCACTGGACGTTGCATGCTGAGTCAACTGCTGTTTCAGCTCACTTTAGCAGACAACAGCTGGTCACCCGGCTGGGTGTTCACCTGAGGTCACAGTTCACAGAGTTACAAACAGTGGGGGTTGAGGGAGGGGAGCAGACTGCCTGGCTCTTGATCCTGCCTCCCTCACTTAGTGCGTCAGCTTGGGCATGGCTACCCGCTCCAGTATTCTTGCCTGGAGAATCCCATGGACAGAGGAGACTGGTGGGCTACAGTCCATAGGGTCACAAAGAGTCAGACACGACTGAAGTGACTTAGCATTCGTGACCCATAGCTTGGGCAGGTCAGTAAGCCTCTGCGGGCCTTAGTTTCCCTATCTTTACAATGGGCTATCTGATGATGAAGTGGGTCAGTCCACACAAACACAGGAGAGCAATGCCTGGCACACAGTAGGTGCTCAGAAAGCAGTGGTCATCCTTAATTTCTGCACACGACGGTGGCAGCAGAGGGAGTGCTCCCCTGAAAGGACCTCTCCGGGACTTTATCCAGGCTGGGGACACACTGCCTTCTGAGTCAGGCCGTTCCATTTTTGGACAACTCTGACTAAGAAAATTCTTCCTTGCTTCCAGCCAAGTCCACCTCCCCACAACTCCCACGCACGGGCCCCAGCTCTGCCAGAAGGCAAATGTCAGAAAAATATTCTTGAAAGAGAGGACATAGAATGTAAATAAGAATGATAGAATCGGGTTGAGGAATTACAGTCTCCCTGGCTTCAGCCATTCCCACTGCCCAGCCCAGACGTGGTGGGGGTGGGGGTCAAAGACCCTTTGGTTCAGTGGGAAAGCCGGCCAAGGCTCTGCACTCTCCTCCACTCCCTTTAGAAACACATTAATCAACTTTTCCCTTCATTCCTTGCAGGCCGCAGCGCACTGCTAACCGAGCGGCAAGTCACTCCCCAGGAACAAAGGTGACGGCCCCCAGGCTGAGGAGCCTTGACCTCATCTCATTTCCTACGTGCCGTCCACCCCGTAATCATTGTGCCTCCAGGAAGCCTGCCCGCCAAGCAGCACATGCTGTCAGCCTCCTGTTTACAGAGCCTTTCTGGCGTCAGGTGTATATAATCATGACCCCCGTGTGTTCCTTCCCTGTCTTCCTTGGCAGGTGCTGTGATATAAGAAGGATGCATGCATCTTTTTTTTCAGGCAGCTGAGACAGCTTAGCTCTCCCCTGATGCTTGTTAAAAAGGATTTGAAATTGCATGTCAGTGTTGCAAGGTGAAAAGACTCTCTGAGCTCTGTTGCAGGGTGCGCATGCACTTAACACTACCGAAGTGTCCGCTGAAAAATAATTAAGATGCTAAAACTCAAAGCAGCACTTTTTACCACAACAAAAAAAAATCTTTAAGGATGAAATAGGTAGGTGAAATAATACAACACAGTGGCTTTGAAATGATGCGGGAGGATGCAAAAGTTCATTGAACTGTACACTTATGGTTTGTGTACGGTTCTCTAACATCGCTTGTGCTGAGTCATCTCTGACTCTGTGCAACCCCACGGACTGTAGCCCGCCAGGCTTTTCTGTCCATGGCATTTTCCAGGCAAGAATACTGAAGTGAGTTACCATTGATAGTAGACTTTGTTAAAAAGTTTATATACACATAAAAGTAATCATAGAGGGAGAAGACATAAAGGGTGGGGGTTACAGTTGAAACAACATTATCTGTGAGTTGGGTGAGTTCTAGTCTATTTCTGTGTGTTTGAAATTTTCCACAATAAAAGAATAGAAATGCAAGAAACATGTAAAGTGTGGGAAAAGTGATCTGAACATTTCGAGTATAAGTCAGGACGCATGTGTAGACTCCTTTTAGCAGCTCTGGGGCAAGGCAAGCCGTGAACTGGGTACCCAAACGGCCACATCCTGTTCTACAGGACGAGGAAGGCAGCACCCTCAGTTACTATCAGGATACTTTGTTCCTCCGAGAGCTTATCCAAGAATCTGAGACAAAAAGAAGGGGCCCCAGGGTTGGTCCCCAGGTCTCCTCTCCCAGCTGTCTCTGGCTGAACATCACTGTCACCCTCCAGGCCCTGCGGACCCCAAATCTTGGAGCTCTCTGAGGACTTGGCCCCAGGCACCCTCCAGCCACTCTCAAGGTCAAGTGCAATCCAAACCTTCCCAACACAGGTGCTGTGTGCAGCCAGGACCCCCTTTGCACTCCCAGTGCTCACTCTGAAGCCTGGTACTTCCTGGGGCACACAGAAGCTTTTGCCAAATCGCCCTCTGTCACCTCGGGTGAGCCATGCCCCCTCATCACAGGACAATCAAGCTAATCTTCCTCCATGGACCTGAATTTAAAAAGCTTTTTAGGCACTTCCTTGGTGGTTCAATGGTTAAGACTCTACACTTCTAATGCAAGGGGTACTGATCCAGGAACTAAGATCCAGAATGCTGCTCAGCCAAAAAAAAAAAAAAAGATTTTTAGCTCCTCTCTCTAGTGGGTGCTAAAGAAGCTCAGTTCAGTTCAGTTGCTAAGTCGTGTCTGACTCTTTGCAACCCCATGGACTGCAGCATGCCAGGCTTCCCTGTCCTTCATCATCTCCTGGAATTTGCTCAGATTCATGGCCATTGAGTCAGTGATGCCATCCAATCATCTCATCCTCTGTTGCCACCCCCTTATCCTCAGTTTTTCTCAGCATCGGGGTCTTTTCCCATAAGTCGGCTTTTCACATCAGGTGGCCAAAGGATTGGAGCTTCAGCTTCAGCATCAGTCCTTCCAGTGAATATTCAGGGTTGATTTCCTTTAGGATTGACTGGTTTGATCTTGCAGTCCAAGGGACTCTCCAAAATAAAAAAGCAATGCTGGAAGGAAATGGTTTGCATTTCTCTGCACCTCTGCTAGGGTGAGATCAAAGCAACCACTAAAGGAAGAAGACGTGGGTCCTGGGCTTTTCTTCACCCTCATCAAATCAGATCAGCTAAAACTGTCAGTTAAAAAGAAAAAAAATCAGTAAAGCTGTCAGGGCTCAGAAGACCATGAGATGATTCTGTTCCCGGGGGCTCAGTGACATTCAAGACTACCTGGAGTGTAACTGCTAGATGGACGATTCAGTAATGACCCTGTGAAGTCTGGTCTGGGTGGGGGCAGCCCCCACTCCTCTGTCATCAGGTGAGAAGTGAGGGCTGGGGAGGGGTAACTGGGAAAATCTGGGTGTGATTCAAACAATTTGCTTTTCCCGGATTTTACATGTTAACTAGTATTGACCACCTCCTCTTTCCAGGTCAGACCTTCATCCCTTGACATTGGATGGGTAAACAACACACCTGGAGTCCCCAGGCCCCGTCCCCACCTTCCCTCACCCCACCTCTGGGACCACCCTCTGGAGTTGACCCCTCCCCACGGGTGGGCTCTGAGCACAGCCATCTCCTGCTTCTCCGGCTGCTTCTTGCCTGTCTTTAACTTGGCTGCCTTTCTCCGCCCTCCTCCCTGCACGTGGACACGTCCAAAGGTTCTGGCCTTGGACCTCCCTCCCCCTCCCTCCTGGGTCATGACCACTCCTAGTTTACCGAGGGCACGAACTCCTGCCTGAATCAACAAGGGGCACTGACTCAGCGCGTGGGAGTCCATCCGGGCACTGGAGCCTCTCTCCACCCCGAAGCCCGGAGTCCACCACCTCCATGCACCTGCCCCCCTACAGCTCTGGGGACCCCTGCTATTCACTGAGCCTCCTCCCTGGGCCCCCCTACTCCTGCTCCCAATCACAGAAAGTCCTCTGGAGACACGGAGCCAGGTGCCCCATCAGCTCAGACCTTCTGATCACCTCTAATTTTCTTCCTAGCAAAATTCCCCAGCTCCTATGATGGGGAGGCTTATTCTTTGGCCTCAGGACCTCTCTCCATCCTCTCTCTCAGAAAACCTGAATAGGACAAGGCAGTTGAATCCACAGCTGCGTCCCCCAGTCACGCTCCAGTAATCCCCGAGAATTGCTGCTTCTCCTTGTCTTTTCTTGCTCCCAGTTTTAGGGGAAGATGTTTCTCACTCTCTCACTACAATCTGCCCTCACCTTCCCAGATTTTTGGCTGAACTTCAGGTCTTCCATCTATTACCGTCTCTCAGAGCCTTAGACTCCATACCTGCAAAGTAAGGATAATCCTGTCTTCTTGTGAGCTAGGTAGTGCTCCATTTGCCAAGCTGTGATGATAACAACAAAGCGATCTGTTCCTGATCATTCACAGTTCAATCCAGAAGGGGCTCCCTGAACACGCATCCCTGTTCCACCAGTCCTGCTGGTGAAGGAACCTGCACCCTAACACTTTTATGCGCGTGAGTCTAGTTACAGTGCATCCCATCTCCTTGTGTGTAATTGATTCTTGTGTCATTGGGAACCATGCATCTCCCAATGGTGGGATTTGCAGAATTAAAGGACTTGATGAAATGACGGGTCCTGCTCCACATGCTCTCTTGGCATCCTCCTCTCTTTCCCCCCTTGCCTCCCACCACCTCTGCCTAAACCCAATTGTCCAACAAATATTTTATTGGATATCTACTCTGTGTCAGGCACTTTTTCTAAACAATGACAAGGTTGGTAATGATGAAGAATGGAGGAAAGGGAGAACAGCTTCTATTTCCTGAGTACTTAGTGTGTGCCAAGCACTCACACATTTGGAGTCATTCATTTCTCACAATGGATCCATCCGTCTGTTCCCCAGAAACCCCAGTGAAATGGGTGCAGTCATCATCCTTGTTTCACAAATGGCTGAGCTGGGGCTAAGCTGCCCAGGGTCACGCAGTCCCAGAAGGGCCCCTGGGAAGTCCAGCCCGCCTGCCCCCAGGCCGTATCCGCGACTATCAAAAGGAAGAGATAATAAAAGAGGATGTGGACCAAGAGATAACCTGATAAAGCCAGGGAGCAAAGTGCTGCAGGAAGGGCTCAGGACCCGTATTAGGAGGAGCGCCACAGGGTGACCTTTCTCTAAGACCTGGGAGATCAGAGGCCCAGGTGTGCAAGGCGTGGGTGGAAAAGAAAGGATGACCAAGGCCCCCGCCATCCAGGATTAGGTCTCAGATCCAGGAGAGGAGCTGCGCAGACAACATGCGGACAGCTGGTGGA